CCAGATGATGTGCAGGTCTGTCTTCTCCCATCTGGCCTTCTGGATCTTAACAAAAATTCACAGAGTGCTCTACACACCCTGGAAAGCCTTGGACTCCCACCTTCTGGCAGTTAGTATCGATGTAGCCATTCTCTAGCAGGTAGGTGGTCATCCTTCTGGCCAGTACTGAGAAGAAGATCTTTCCTTCTACATTCAGTAGGGCCATGTTTCTGAATTGGCCAATGTCTTTAGAGTTTGTTTCCTTTGGGATGAAGAACACCGCTGCTCTTTGCCACTCTGATGGGATGTGTTGTTTTTTCCAGGCAGTTCTCATTAGGTACCATAACAGCTTTAGTACCTTGGGACAGTTCTTATAGAGCTTGAAGGGGACTCCATTGGGGCCTGGTGCTGACAAGGACCTTGCCTTCTTCATGAAGAAACTGGCTCGCTCTTTTTGCTTCCCTTTGCTGCGCTTACGGATGCGTTCAACTCTGCGAAGCCTGGATAGCCTTCGCCTGACCTCCTCCCACAGGGCTTTCAGCCTCTTTCTCTGCCTGTGTTGCCTTCCTCCAGTTCTTGCAGAGCTGTTGGCGCCTTTGCACTAGTTGGATGATTTCCTTCTCCCTCCTTCCCTTCTCTCTTAGGGTGGTCCTCTGTTTGGGGTTAACTTCTCCAAACCTGTCCTTGCAGGTCTGGTATATGATGTCTCCAATCAATGAAATTAAGCTGTTGAAGAGACAGTGTCTGAGGACAGTTTTTTAAGTGACCAAGAACTTTATGTTTTTTGACACCTTCTTTTAACCCATTGATATTCCAGGTACAAATGGTAAATTTATTTGAAAAAGTTTCTGTACTCTTATTTGATACCATCACTCCATATGCTATTAAGTGTACAGGACACATGGTTGCTTTAAATTCAGGGAAAAGCCCAGTAGAAATCAATCAATCAATCAATCAATCAATCAATCAATCACAGCGGATAAGGAAAAACTCCCCCCCAAAAAATCTTTAACGGAAAAAAATCCACACACAAAAAAACAGGTCCATGACACAGAACGTAACCCAATATACAGACTAGGGATCGACCGATATGGGTTTTTTAGGGCCGATACCGATACCGATTATTAGTAGTCAAGGAAACCGATAACCGATATTTAGAACCGATAGTCATTTGCAGTAAAAATTAAAATTTTGGTGTCAAAATTTAGAGTAACACACCTGGGATTAGACTGAATAACACAAACTGTGACGCAAATCTTGGTTGAAATGGTTGGTTGTTTTATTATATAAAAAACAGAAATTGCAGAGATCTCTTAAAGTTCACTGAAAATGAAATGGCTCCCTGATTTTTTCATAAAATCAAAGTTAAAACTGAACTGCACAGTACTGAAATTTGAGTCTTGGCAATAAGTAAAATTATCTAAAAAACAAAACATTCAGGGATCTTCTAGCAGCATTTATAAAAGTTCACTGAAATAAATAACAGTTAATTAATGATGTCTTATGTTTTTTCTCAGGTACATCTGATCCAGCCTGATTAAGTGCAAACCAATAAAGAGGGTGGCAGGAACAGGAACCTTTTTACATCAAATGGCATAATTAGTTTATAAATAAAGATTAAACTTTCAGTGGTTACCAGACTTATTTTTTATTAAAGTAATTTGTAATTACATGTATTTAATATACTAGTCACATTTAATTTTTTCAGCAAAATGAGTACTTTTACTTTAATGCCAAGTAAATTTAATTGATATTCTTCTATACTTTTTAAATGCATGTCTAAATGAACTAATGAAGCCTACAAAACAACTTCACATCAATTGCTGAAGCTAGTGTGCATGTACACAGACACACACACAAACACACACACACACACACACACACACACACACACACACACACACACACAGTCCATGTCAACATAGCTGCACACAGACAACAGTTTCTTCTCAGCGCGACACATACACACACACACACACACACACACACACACACACACACACACACACAAGCAAGCGCCATACCGACCATACACAGCTGAAATGCACTGAAGTAAACTTCTACATGTCCGTTAGCTTTAGCAGCCGATGTGAAGTAGTTTTAGACGACATTATTGTTTCTAATGGCTGTCCGTTGCGACCCGCGAGCAACCGCGTGAGGGGGGAAACAGACACTGAGATGCAGTATGAAGATGCCGTGTTTATCAAGCATCAACAGTGGTGTCTTTAAAACTTTAGCATAGAGGATTTCTTATTACAACTTCGACATTTTCTGTTGCCTTGCCTTCAGACATCACACTGCTGCTTCATGGAGCAGTCCTCTCTCCCCTCCTCTCTCTCTCTGTGCCGCTGCAGCTGCATCTACCTTCAGTGTTGATTGGCTGTCACTCACTTGTGCCGTGTAGCCAATCAGTGGGGGCTGTAGGTGGGACATTTGTTACACAGCACAGAGTGGAGACTTCAGGCAGACAGGCAGAGAGAGACAGCTGCATGAGAGCCAAAGGAGCGTGTTTTAATTAAAATAAAGTTATTTCAATTAAAATAAACGTATTTTATCGGCTATCGGTGGAAAAAACGGCCAATGCTGATTATCATAAAAATGCTGAATATCGGCCAATATTATCGGCAGTGCCGATTATTCGTCGATCCCTAATACAGACACACAGACAGACTATAAAACACAAATATACAGAAAGGACTTACATATACCCCTGACATCTTAACCTCTCTAGACATGCTACATTGAGCTAGTTTTCCTGTTCCACCCCATGGTGTAACCAATGGCCATAAAATTACATATCAGTCTGTAAAGTTTAACAAAAACACATTATATTTCATCAGCAATTTTATCCTATTTGGAAACTTTTGTGAAGTGAAAAAAGGGGGAAAACAGTAGAGAAAAGAAAAAAGTAAAGGTGAAATCAAAGTAAGGGGGACAATGAAAGATTAAAGAAGGAAAAGAAGGAAGGAAGGAGGAGGAAGAAGGGAAGAATCAAAAGAGGGGAGAGGGGGAGGAGCAAATGACGACAAAAACTACAAAAGGAAGATTAGAGAGAAGGAAGAAAAAAAAAACTTTAATCTCTCTTCGACAAATTTAATTCAACCTTAAGATTACTAAATAAATAAGGTCTATACAAAACACCTGTGTTTTCCAAACAGTGCAGTTTTTCCCAAACATTGACAAGACTATGGGGGCCCGCCATAGTCTCCAAAAATAGGCTAGATATAAAATGCCTCTGGGAAAAGAACGTCACTCTGTAGCGCACCGGCTAGAGTGCCTACTGAGAATTCTTTGCACAGTTGCCCACGTAAAGTTTTTGAGAATTTGATAGTACAATTGCTTTATTGAAAGTACAGTAGTACCATTGCCAATAGTGGGATAGTTAGTGGGCTAAAACTGTACATTAGTAGTTGAGGTAGCACGTTGAAAGGCAGATAGTTAAAGTGTTTATATGTTGTATTGACTTAAAAGTGGGGCGCATTGGTAGTTCACATGGGAAAAGAATATACTAATAGTGTAATTTTTGGAAAAAGTAGCTTTGTCACCTTCTACCTATGCCAATCCTCAATACCTATGTGCAGTTTCACATAGATTGACCACGTCAGTGAGTAGAAAAGCGTGGGACAGACAGAATGACTGACTGAGTGACACACTGACAGTTTCCGTGATTATGTACAGGATACCATACCATCACTTAGTCATACCAAAAATTGGGGGGGGGGGGGAAACATCGGCCACAGGGGGAGCCACAGTGATCGGTCGCATTTTAGCCATGTTTAAGCATTTTTCTGTTGTTATAGCGCCACCCAGTTGCCAATTAGAGTTAAATTTCTCAAGTCACCTTGAGGCGTGCTGTTCTACATATCTACCAAGTTAAGTAAAAATTGATATGGCGGTTAGGCCTAGATAAGAAATTAGCTCTCTAGCACCCCCATTTTTCTTCGATCGGGTCAATAATGGAGGGGTCCCCTCAGATTATGTGTGGTCATATGCCTACAAAGTTGCGTGGTGATCAGTGAAACCCTTGAGATGTTATATACCTTNGGTCAATAATGGAGGGGTCCCCTCAGATTATGTGTGGTCATATGCCTACAAAGTTGCGTGGTGATCAGTGAAACCCTTGAGATGTTATATACCTTTATGTGATGAGCCACAGCCTCTGCAATACTCACTGCCTTATAGAAGCTCAGTTTTAGTAATTTTTCCAACTTTCCATTACCTTCTACCACTGTGCCAAATTTCACATGGATTGACCAAGTCAGTGAGGAGAAAAACTTGGAACAGACACACCCACAGACAGAGTTTTCGTCATTATATAGTAAGATATATATATGTTTAGTATGGCTCCAGTATGTTGTCAAGCAGGCTTTTAGACCCACCCAAAAACTCCTGGAAACAGAAATGATGGAAAACAGTTTATCAGCCTAACTCCACAGTTCAGTACTACACAGTTCCCAGTTATTTCACGTTTTCAACACCTGTTTTCTAACATGTATAATGAGTTAAGACAGAAACACTGATTTTGCTTTACCCAGACTTCAGCGAGCACATTTAAGTCAAAAATGAGTCAGAATTCCTGCTTTATACAAAATAACAAAAGCCCAAGTCATGACGTTTTTCATATGTTTAAAATCTTAAGAATCAAGGAAATTTCTCTAACTTTTTTGCTTTATCAAAAACATACCAAACTGTGACGCCACTGTTTTGTAGTGTATCAGACCAAACCTTGAAATTCGTGATCCCTAAAACCTTTACTGACTATTACCAGCGATGCTGAACACACTGCAAACTTTATGTACAATAGTCAGCCAGTGTAGGTTAGTGATGGCTGACTGTCAACTTGGTATTTAATGACTCTTCTGTCACACTTGCTCCTCAAACAAGAGTAGAAGAAAACACACCATATGATTTATTTGTTGGTTTGAAATATGTTGTGTGTCAGGGGGAACAGCATCTGCCAGGACCATTCATTACACAAAGGCAAATGTTGCTCACCCCTAATTGACTGTTTTCTTTGGCAGAATGACGTGGTTGTGTCTTGGCGCCCCTCATCTGAGTTCCCTGGGAATGTGTAAGAAACTTTTATTTTCCTTAAATATATAAAGTAAGCACACATATATATATGTATATATACATATATATATATATATATATGTGTGTATATATATATATATGTGTGTATATATATATATATATATATATATATACAGTACAGGCCAAAAGTTTGGACACACCTTCTCATTCAATGCGTTTTCTTTATTTTCATGACTATTTACATTGTAGATTCTCACTGAAGGCATCAAAACTATGAATGAACACATGTGGAGTTATGTACTTAACAAAAAAAGGTGAAATAACTGAAAACATGTTTTGTATTCTAGTTTCTTCAAAATAGCCACCCTTTGCTCTGATTACTGTTTTGCACACTCTTGGCATTCTCTCGATGAGCTTCAAGAGGTAGTCACCTGAAATGGTTTCCACTTCACAGGTGTGCCTTATCAGGGTTAATTAGTGGAATTTCTTGCTTTATCAATGGGGTTGGGACCATCAGTTGTGTTGTGCAGAAGTCAGGTTAATACACAGCCGACAGCCCTATTGGACAACTGTTAAAATTCATATTATGGCAAGAACCAATCAGCTAACTAAAGAAAAACGAGTGGCCATCATTACTTTAAGAAATGAAGGTCAGTCAGTCCGGAAAATTGCAAAAACTTTAAATGTGTCCCCAAGTGGAGT